CAATCGCAGACCAAAGGAGGATCCAAGGAGAAATGATGATACCTGGCAGGAGCGTTGGAGCAGGAGCGAAAAGGGCGCCTTGACCAGAAGGCTTATCCCTGACATAAGGGTTTGGAAGGATAGGGAATTTGGTGACCTGAAATACTGCATCACACAGTTCCTTCCCGGGCATGGCCACTTCAATAGCTATCTCCAACGAATCGGCAAGACAGGATCGAACCGTTTTCAAATATGCAACGAGATAGAGACTGCGGAGCACGTCCTCTTCCAATGTGAAGAATGGGAATCGGAGAGGCACCTTGCCGAGAGAACTGTAGGAGCTGTTCTAAACACGCACAATTTGGTGCCAGTTATTCTCAGAGGGATAGACGAGTGGAATGCAGTGGATAAACTGTGCGAAGATATCATACAAAAGAAAGACCCGGTTGTGTGAGCTCGAACTGAGTAAACGAGGAGTAATTATCCGCTGCCTGTTGGACGGTATGCCGTAAGGCGATTCCCGACAGAAGTTACCATGAAGAAAAAAAAAATAGGGGGAAGAGGTTTTAGTGGGTATGGGCACTCCGTCAGAGTGCTCGAGCCCCACACTCTCCCGGCGACAGTCCATCAGCCGGGAGGTCAGTGCGTAACGCATTTCTCCCATACCCCCTACTAAAAAAAAAGGGATATAATATTATGGAGGTTGTTTACAAAATGGGTTTATTTATTTAGTAACTACATAACACACAAAAAATTTTGACGATATAAATCGAATATATGCGAAAAAAATCGATTTATAAGTGTAAATTGGGGAATATGAAGCTCGAAAATACAAACGGCCATAAAAAAAATTCGAGCTAACTTTTACAAACCTAGCGAGGGTTTTGCTATTGGATAGGTATATTTTCAGAAAAAAATAGTCCGGTGCGGTTTGATTTTTGGTGTTCCACAGTGTAATCCATATACTTACCGTACATATACCGCTTATTCTCTATATTTGAAATAAATTTTTTCCGTTTTTAAGGAGAGTCTGGCTATTCTCTACCTTTTGCGCACGTGCAGTGCAAAAGTGGAAGATTAAAGCCTGATTTAAGGATTGCCTTCCTTCCTTCCTCCCTAGATATTTTTAAAGCATTATCCAACTGGCTGTAGGTTGTAAAAAAAGTTTCTTGAATAACCGTAGCTCCAGAGTAATATAAATGTTACTTCGTTTTCGGAATCGTTTCTTTGCAGATCTACATTTCCCACCATGAATACAAAACCCTTTTCATTATTTGGTTTAGTTTAAATTTTTTACAGTGTTCGTTGACGACATGGTTTTTCTCGTTTTTGAACTTTCTTGTAATAAAAACAGTTTTTTTATTTTGTGGTTTTTGGGTCCGCAATAATTTCATTTAATCATGGAATGAAATTGTCGGGTTGGTTTATTATATCCTTGATGGTTAAAATTATGTCTTTTTGGCTGATTTGTAAATTTGTATTTGGAATTTTGTTCATATTTATTTCTTTATAAAGATGAGATATTCATTGGTTTGTTAGTTTTTGCATGTAACACTTTGCTACTTGTGTTACTACTTAATTTTATTATTTAGTCACTGATGCCACATCACCTTGGCAAGTTACACGATTGAGCCACCCGACCGGTTTGGTAAACAATCAGCCAACACCCGTACGTCAAAAAAATTCCTGATCGGCCGAAAATATTGCCACGTACTGCCCGTGAAAGTGTGCAGGAGAACCCGAGACACCCTGCTTAAAATACCCCATAGAGACCTATACAAAATAATCTATCGGGCGCTACCGGATTTAATATGTGCATTTGTCCATTGTTTTTCCGGATACGGCCCGATAGAAAATTTATAGGAAATTTCCTATAGGCACACCATAACTTTTACATTTTCCCTATTGAGACCGATAACAAATAACTCAATGAAGGATATATAGGGATATCCCTATAGAGCAACCATAAAATATTTGACAAAATTTTATTTAAACCTATGCGGTCCTATGGGGGAAAAACTCATTTCTACATTTATGTGTATTTTCTCCATTGAAACCAATTGCAAATAAATCAAGGGTGGATATCCCTATAGAACAACCATAAATCCCAACTATGGGTCCTATACATACAGTGTCATACATACATACACCCTATAGAAACACATACATTCCGATACAAATATCTATCGGTTTGAACAGGGTCTCTATGGGGTATTTTAAGCAGGGCAGTCAATTCCTCGCCGTGCACAAGAACTCGGCCTTTCGCAGACTTCAACTTGGCTAATTTTTCGTCGGGATTTGGGCCTGCACCCGTACAAGATCCAATTGACCCAGCCCTGCTTAAAATACCCCATAGAGACCTATACAAAATAATCTATCGGGCGCTACCGGATTCTATATGTGCATTTGTCCATGGGTTTTCCGGATACAGCCCGATAGAAAATGTATAGGAAATTACCTATAGGCACACCATAACTTTTACATTTTCCCTATTGAGACCGATAGAAAATAACTCAATGAAGGATATATAGGGATATCCCTATAGAGCAACCATAAAACATTTGACAAAATTGTATTAAAACCTATAGGGTCCTATAGGGAAAAAACTAATTTCTACATTTATGTGTATTTTCCCCATTGAAACCGATAGCAAATAAATCAATGGTGGATATCCCTATAGAACAACCATAAATCTCAACTACGGGTCCTATACAAACCGATACACCCTATAGAAACACCATACATCCCGATACAAATATCTATCGGTTTGAACAGGGTCTCTATGGGGTATTTTAAGCAGGGAGGAGCTCAATGTTAATGACCATAGACAACGCCTTTGTTCGCTAAATTGGGCTTCGGAGCGTTTGGAAGAGGACCCCAATTTTGGCCGAAAAATCATCTTTAGCAACGGGGCGCATTTTTTGATGAATGGCTATGTTAACAAGCAAAATTGCTGTATATGGAACGACGCCAACCCACACGAAGTTCAAAAGGTGGCAATGAATCCACAAAAAGTTACCGTATGGTGCGGATTTTGAGCCGGCGGCGTCATTGGTCCGTACTTTTTCGAAAACGACGTTGGTGAGGCATCACCGTCAATGGCGACCGCTACAGAACGATGATATCCGATTTCTTTTGGCCCAAATTGAAAGATATGGACGTGGACGACATGTGGTTCAAGCAGGAAGGCGCTACGTGCCACACAGCAGACGCCACGGTGGACATTCTGCGTGTACGATTTGATGCTGTGATTATCTCTCGCAGAGGCCAGCAAGATCGTGCGATTTGACCCCGCTATACTTTTTCTTGAGGGGTTTTCTGAAGTCGCAGGTCCATGCCAATAGGCCGCAATCGACCGATGCCATCGCTTAAATTCAGCCTGATCTATGCGGCATTGAAAATTGGACCACTCGGCTTGTCAACTTTATACATCAAACTTAATAAATTCTTTTGAACTGCTAATTGTGTAGCAAGGCATTTTCTGTTATATATGGAATCCAATTTGTCCATAATTTAACGAGCTGTTGCATCTTCAGCAACATTACCTATCATTGTACAACTAAGCTATTCTATAATGGTGCTTTTTGCTAATCGCTCGAGTTTTTCACATTTTTTGTCAGGAACTTTTGGGGCAGCAGTACTTTTAGTACTTCCTCTTCCGCAATTAAAGCTCTTAATAATAATAATAATAATATTACTTTATTAATCCAACACACAACAGTCCATATAAAGGATATAAATTATTTAGGTTACAGTGACAAATTAAAGTTATAGGTTGATAAATTTAAAATATCTAATTAGGACAAAATACCATAAATAAAACAACTTAGGATAATGAGCGAATAATTCGAACAAATGAATTTAAATTTTGGTTAAAAATATCACAATTATTCAAAATTTGGTTATAAGTTCTACACATCGACGTCAATGGAGCATGCATGTGCTGGTTGTTAAACGAAACTTCCATCAAATTGTTTAATATTACGTTTATTTTTATTAACATTCATTGTCACAATGTCTTTATTTATCACTCACACCTTACTAATAAATGTTTTTTTTTATTGTTTCGTATATAAAACTCACATATACACACACTAGCACAAAACTTTTACCGTTCTGGGCCCATAACCTAGATTTAATAGGAAAAGGTTAAAATATAAACGCCAAATCCTAATTTAAATACAAGCTGAAAAGCTGCTTTATTGTAAATAGTTTTACATAGAGTGGAATTTATGTAACTAACTACTTTAAACCTTCGACAGTCTCGAGACTTTGTTATATGCGTAATCGCAGTTTTGCCTAATATAAACATACATCAGAAATTTAAAGTGATACGTTTCTTTTTGTAATATACAGGGGGTATATCCAATATCAATCAATAATATAATAGCTGTATAGGGGCAAGTGGATGAAGGGGTTAAGTAACTTTTTTAATAAGAAAGGACTGAAAATATTGTTATTGCAATATCAAATTTATTTTAATTTACAAACACAATATTGTCTGTTCTTTCCTAATTTAAATGTAACATGACACCTTTAAACAAAACATATTGTTATTGTAAATCAAAATGAATCTGGTATTGCAATATTAATAATTTCTGTCCTTTATTATTACTCAACCCTTCATCGACTTGCCCCTTCAACTGTAAAACTCGATTCCTTACTATATGTATACCATCTTCTTCAAAAGTTTCACTTTAGTAGTGTGCTTATAAAAGTGAGGCACACAGAATTTTTTAATGTAGACACTCTTTTAAAAAATATAGAATGACTTTAGTGTCTAGCACGACGAAAGGGTGAGGTAGTACAAAATACATATCGCCTGTCTTAGTTATGGGCGTATTGCATTCTTTCGGTAGGTTTTCTCTCGCAGGCCAAAATTACACTTTTTAGTAAAATTAAATGTATTAAAAACTGAAAAATAGGAACCAAAAATTAATAAAATTAAAAAATAATAATTTCATTCATTATTTATATAAATAGGGTCCCATATATTAACAATACCTATTAATTTATTGTAGGCCAATTCATGGACTTATATTCCTTTTTAAATGGACCAAAGATGATGACACTAGTGGTTCAGTTGTACAAGATAGCAGATTGGAAAAAATATTCTTTGCTAGGCAAGTTATTGAAAATGCATGTGCCACCCAAGCTATACTGAGTGTATTGCTAAATTGCCGCCACCATGATCTTAAATTGGGAACCACTTTATCTGAACTCAAAGATTTTTGCCAAGGCTTTGATGCAAACATGAAAGGTCTTACAATCAGTAACTCACCAGTAATCAGATCAGTACACAACTCATTTGCCAGACAACAGCTTTTTGAATTCGACCCCTCCATGTCCAATAAGAGCGAAGATGTGTTTCATTTTGTTGGCTATATTCCTATTGATGGCAGACTATATGAACTGGATGGTCTTAAAACAGGCCCAATTGATTTGGGTGCTATTCCAGCAGAAACTGAGTGGACTGATGTGGTTAGGCCAATAATTGAAAAAAGGATTCAAAGATACAGTGAAGGTGAAATTCACTTTAATCTAATGGCTATAGTAAGTGACAGAAAAATGATTTATGAAAGGCAAATTGAAACACTGGAGAAACAAACTGAAGAGGGAGGAATGGATACTGATTCCCAACAAGCAGAAATTACAAGGTTAAGATTATTAGTTGATGAGGAAGATAACAAAAGAAAGCAGTACCAAATTGAAAATATAAGAAGAAAGCATAATTATCTACCATTAATTGTTGAAATTCTAAAGATATTGGCTAAAGAGGGAAAACTTATGCCTTTGTATGAACAGGCCAAGGAAAGGACTTTAAAAAAGCAAAAATCTAAAACCGCTTCTTAAGCATTCTTAATTTTATTAATGTACTGTGTAAGTCTATTTTTTATAAATAATTTGTAGAATGATGTTTACTAATAAAAATGCATTTAAAAAGTTTTATTTTTTTATTTTGCGAACAAAAAGGAACATTACAAATTAAAATTTTGTAAGTAAATATACGTTATATTAATTAAAATCATCCGGATTCAATATCTTCCATTTTTATTATTGAAATGTTAAACGAACGTGGTTGTGCCTGATGTAGAATTATTCTTTTATCCAGGTACAATAAAGATACTAAAACAAAAATATATTAAGTAGGTGACTTATATTTTCAATTTTTAATAAAACTACCTTCCAAGTTATCTTGCTTTTCTTTTGGTACAAATTTATACACCATATTCTTGAATAAAGAATACAGTTTATCTGCAGTATAACCTTCATACTTTTTTGATAATCCTGTCCAACTAATTTCCTTCCAGTCTGTGTATTTCTTCTTTAGGAACCTAAATGTTTAATTACCAATTAAATTCCAAATTTTTTATTAAATAATAATGCAAACCTTTTTATTAGACTTATTTTAATTTGTTGCGGAGTGAGAGCATCAGCAGCAAACAGCCTAACATACACGGAATTTTTCCATTTCCTTTGAAGCTGTCTGGATGATAAACCAAATTCAAGTTTCCGGGCTATTTTTGACCACTCTTTAAGTGTAATCTGCCTATTTTTTAATGCCATCACATCGTTGCATTTGGTAACCTTCATAATTCTCTTAATAAATTGATGAATGATTTCATCAGTCCATTTTAATTTTGCTGTAGTAGTTGAATTAGTTAGTAGGTAATTATACCTTTTTTCTATAGCAATTTTATCCCTATTTAAGCTTTTTGCCAAATCAACAAATGGTATTCTAGATGTAGAATTTGTAATATACGAAAAAATTTCTTTATCTTCATCATCAGAAAACCTAAAAATTATAATATTTTAACTTAAATGGTTAAATATTTTACAAAATCTTACCTTCCTGTTTTTATAACGGTATGTAAATACAATCTTTTAAATCTGGCATAAATACTGTATAGATATCTATTTTCTAAACCTCTACCCAAAAACTGTAAGAATTTAGTTCTTTCTTTTAATTTTAAAAATTCACGGGACTCATGTTTAAATTTTAAAAACGGTGATGGATGATGTTCGTCCCAATCATGCTCCTAAAATATAAAAATAATTATGTACTTTTCAAAGCAAGCATACTATTGTTATACTGTATTTTATTACAAGTTCGCAAAATATGCTTTTTTAAAAACTTATTAAAAGTTGACTTTTACATTATATTTATAAAGTGTCAAAACAACAGTTTTTTGTCTACAGAACGTAATAGTATATTAGGAGGTAAGTAGATTTTACCAGTCGAGGACGAGTTTGCGCCCGAGCGTGCGAGGGCTGTCAAAGCTTACCTCCTGCGTGGTGAATGACGTTTTATCTGCTCCCTCAGCTAGGTTTCAGGTAATAAAAATACTTTTATTGATCAATTTATTTTGACACTGACACTAAGTAATTTTTTGACATTAAAGGATGTGTTTAACATTCGTTGCTATGTACACAAAATACTCTTTACCATAATTTGCATATAATATATATAATATATATATATATATATACACACATGTCCAAAAGTTTGGAATACTTACAAATAATATATCTACGCCTATGGTAGTTTAAAAAAACTGTTGTTAATATTTACTCTATTTTCTCTGTCTTTGAGGTTTATTTATTATTGGTCGGAGTCGTTATAAAATGGTATTTACCTATATAAAAAAATATATATAAATATCAATAAAAAAAGAAATATTGCAATATTCCAAACTTTTGGACATATGTGTATATATAATATATATATATGCATATTATGGTAAAGAGTATTTTGCGTATATAGCAACGAATGTTAATCACATCCTTTAATGTCAAAAAATTACTTAGTGTCAGTGTCAAAATAAATTATAAATAATTATGCTCTTTACATTTTTAGTAATTTATAAACTAGCATACAGTTTTTTTTTTAATTATATATACTTGATTGCGAAATTCTTTTCCATTCTCGAATGATTTTTTTGCTCGCCATCGCTTAACAGAAAAAAACTCGAATGCAAAAGTAGCATTTCGTAATCTAGCATCAAAAATAACTATATACGGCGTGAGCACGACATATAGGTACCCTGTGTAAATGTAAAATTTGTATCATATTATTAAATTATATTAAATGTTGAGTTATTTTTTATAATTCTTTTTAAAAGTGGACATTTATAATGTTTGTTTTAATTTTTATATTTATAATCCCAATCAATATACAGTATGATATTAACTTCAAATATTTTTTGCTTCTGCTAATTTCAAATTAGTAATTTGTGTTTTCTTAAACTGTTTAAATAAGGGTGCTGGAAACCTTTTATTGTGCCACCGCATCTTACAAATTGACTTATCGACATTTAATCTAGGTACGCAGATATAAAATATAGAACTTTCTGAGTACCTAGGCATAATAAAAACTATAGTTATTATAATACCTACTTGACAAAATTCCAACCAGTTTTTCTTAATTTGTCTATCCTCCTCTTTTGTATATGGACCTGTTTTAACTACAATATCCAAATCTTCTATTTCTGATTTTTTCTTTTTGGTTATTTTACACGCGCATGTTGCAATTTTATGTAACTGCGGTATAAAAAATGGCAACTGAATTTCGAGGTTCTTTATTACCTAAAAATTATTTCATTTTGTTTTATTTTTTAATGTACCTATTTATTTAATTTAATAATTTTTAATACAATCTTACCTGTAAATCTGAACTGGTAACATTAAATAAATCCTCAACAGTGGGTTCAGGAGAATCAGTGAATGTACTACTTCTTTTGGGTGGAAAAAATCCTGAAATGTTAAATTAAAAACGACTACATATTTGTAAGCACTTGTTATACCGTTTCTTTTACTGTAGAATTTATCACATGAATTGTCTTCTGATAGATAATCATCATTTATTTCTAAAAGTATGTTTAGTGATTAAAAAAAAGTAACTTAAGTCTTAAACAGATTCTGTCAGAAATAGTTTACCTTTATCATGTTTTAATTTTTTTATTTTCTTAGGAGTATCACAAATAATTATTTTCTCTAGGTTTTCTGAATTTGATTCCAAATTTTCTGAAAACAATACTTCATTAAATATTGACTATTGAAATAAAAAGCAATGAAAATATACATTGCAATGATATATAATAAATATACAGAATTTTTAATTCGTTGTAATAAAAAGTTTAAAACTGCTACAAATATTATACATGGTAACGCGTACAATGTACGAGCCCTAACCACAAAATGTTCGGACACTTCATAATTTATACAGAAATATTTTTCGTGAATACTATCTCAAAATTATTAGAAGTTATGAAAAATTCAGCTTATTTTGGCATATACCCCTCGAAGCGATTTTTATTTTTAAAAAGTTTACCTTTTATTTTTAGCTTTTAAAAAAAGGCTAACTTTTTAACTTTTTTTTGTATGAGTAAAAAAAGTTATAAATGGCCCCATTAAAAAGAACATAAAATATTATACAAACCCTGAAAATTTGGTAAAAATTGTATAAATAATAAGAAAGTTATAACGATATATATATCTGCAAAATCTCCCGTTTCCTAAGAAAATTGCAAAAACTCTTTAAAAATAGCATTTTTAAATTACTTATACTTTTTTATAACTTATTTATTTTTTACCAAATTTTCAGGGTTTGTATAATATTTTATGTTCTTTTTAATGGGCCCATTTATAACTTTTTTTACTCATACAAAAAAAAGTTAAAAAGTTTGCCTTTTTTTAAAAGCTAAAAATAAAAGGTAAACTTTTTAAAAATAAAAATCGCTTCGAGGGGTATATGCTAAAATGAGCTGAATTTTTCATAACCTCTAATAATTTTGAAAAATATTTCTGTATAAATTATAAAGTGTCCGAACATTTTGTGGTTAGGGCTCGTAGGACTATACACTTCAATTTAAGACATACATACATAGCTAATGCTCATAAGTTTAAATATTAAGTACCGAGGCCATTTTTTAAAACCCCTTGGTCCGAGGGGTTTTAAAAACTCGTCCTAAAAACAAGCATACATTTCTGGCGAATTATTTGTACTGAAACACATTTTGCACAATTAGGTTCAATAAAATCTTGTTTTTAAAAAGGTTTTTTACGTTTATTTTATACTTTTTAGTATTCTTAATAACTGGTTAGTTTAACCACGGCGTTCTCTATACCAGGGGGGAGTGTGGTAGTGGGTGGCGTGACGTGTGGAGGCCGAATGTAATAATGTTATAATCGCGGTAAAACAAGACAGTTTAATATAAATTATCTACTGCTTTAAATTGATATCTGCTTTTATAACACTATAAATAAATAAAAAATACCAAGAAAATGTTGCGTTCCTAAGAGGCAACAGGAAAATAAATATATTATCGATGTAATGCAAGACAGTTTCATATGAATTATCGAGCCGGCCTGAGATTTTTTGCCTCTCTGGGCAAAAAACACTTACTGCCCCTGGGCCATTCCACGCGAAACGGATAGGATAGTTGCCGTGTTTTTATTTACAAAATAATATTGTTCTATTATATTACCAATGTCAAATTTTTATAAATAGTTCTAAACTAAAGCTGTTTAACAAGGTTTTTATTTGGCAAAATTAGGTATCGTGGTTGACTGTTTAATTCCTTAAAAACTAATAATTTAAAGCGTAACGGACGGGACTTTGTAATAGTCCCGCCCGTTACGCTTTAAATTATTAATTTTTAAGGAATTAAACAGTCAATCACGATACCTAATTTTACCAAATAAAAACCTTGTTAAACAGCTTTTGTTTAGAACTATTTATAAAAATTTGACATTGGTAATATAATAGAACAATATTATTTTGTAAATAAAAACACGGCAACTGTCCTATCCGTTAAGCGTGGAATGGCCCCCCTTTTTTTATTCAGTAGAAAAAATTCCTTTGTCCCGTCCCCAACAGTCAATTATTAAAATTATGTCTACTTATTGCTATATTGCTTATGTTTCTTTTATTTTATGTATAGCCTAATAAAAAAGGAATATATTAAACAATTTTGATGCCAAAATACTATATAATAAATTACCTACAGTATTTTTTCTAAAAACAGTTTTAAGATACGTGCATATGCAATAAGCTGTTAAAACTGGAAAATAATACCTGCAAGAAACAAGATGGTAATGCGCCCCGAAAACTAAAAACTTTGATGTATCAGTTATATATATGAAATTTAAATAAATTACTATTTTAAGAGCATACAAATAGAAATATTCATTTACATTAAATAAACAACATTTTTATGGTTATATACTTATACGCAAAAATATTATACTCTTAATTCAAATAAAATATAAGTTTACTTGTGTTTATTTTTAAATAAAATCTATTATGTTTTATATTAATTTATTTTTTCTACTCCCACCTTTAAAACGCCCTTTATCGTACATGTTTCCATGACACTAAGTGTACCTTTTAAATACACATTGACAAGTTGTGGCTTTAAGGCGCTTTAGTTAGCAACAGGTTTTTAGTCACGTGCTGAAGTTAGTTTTAAGTTGTCAAATGTCATACAATCGTTAAAATAAAGTGCCTTTCTTGTAAAATAATACTAAATGTGAAAATTATTTTATTATCCCAATACAAAAGTATTAAATAGTTTCTCAACGCCAATATTTGAAAAGTTAAATTCGGGCACGGACTCCACTGTAAAGTCCTCATAAAACATTTTCTTTACTTTCACTGTGAAAAACTGTCAATGTTCAAGAAATACATTTCGATTTACCTATAACCTTTATAATCTGTGTTTATGAAAATGTGACATTTGACGGTGACACACTGATTCCCCTATTGTTTCATAGATGGCGCACTATACAAATTTTTGATTTAAATCATTTTAAGATAATAATAAGTATTTGTCGTAGAAAAGTATAGTATGCACCTCGTTTATCAAACTTGATACATAATATACTATTAAGTAATCCTTAATATTTAAAAGAGGGTAGGTATAGGTATAAATTCTTAATTTAAATACAAGAAAATTTAGAATTATTTTTAATATTAATAGATAAATTTTGTATAAAATTAAACTTAACAAAATTATTATTTAATATTCCATATTATAAAAATTTGACTAAACTTATTTTAAATATACAAATCCAAAACAATCGTTATTTTAAAATTACAGAATTATTTTTTGTGTGCAGTTCTCTTTGTTTTAAATAAATTACTATTTTAATAGCAGTTCACTGTTTGTTTTCAATAAATTACTTAGGACATATGGTTGTGTTGATTTTGATAGAATATGTACCTAATCATGCATTGTCCACTGCTTTAATAAAAATTACTCCTTAAAAGCAATAAAAATCCATAACTTTGGTTCCAAAGCAATGTAATACAATAGGCGTATGTTGATCCGATCGGCCTCCTGACGTCACGGTTTTGATGCAGGAGTGGGGGCTACACTCTCGCCTGGTATAGAGAACGCCGTGGTTTAACCTACTTTGTAGCTACCATAATAATGATATTAGAATGGTAGCAATGGTGAGCAGAACTTTGGACACGGTGTATAAGTAAGTATATGTGCATTTATACTGTCGAATTATCGTCAAAGACATGCGCAATAGTAAATCGCCACAAAATTTACTAACGCGATTTTCGTATTGCGGATATCCCAAGATACATACACCTTAAGATAGGAAGGTGCGCATGTTGGGCGGGGCTAAAATACGTCACTCTTTGAGTATATTTAAAACTGTAACGTGCGTTTTAATTATCTGCTGCTAAAATTCTGGTTTTTGCTATGCTGTTGGATCTTAACTTGCTCTGTTTTTTTGTTGAATTACTTTTCAGTGTTCAAATTATTTTTATTGGGTTGTGTTAACCTGTTCTGTTTATTTATTATTGTTTTTGTGTTGAGTTAACTTGTTTAGTTTGTGTCGTGCATTTGCATTTATTAAAATGCGGTGTGGCATATTTGGATGCAATTCGGACAAGCAGTCCCAAAAAAACCCTTTGAATAAAAACATTAAATTTCATCGATTCCCGAAAAACTTTTGATTTTTGCAATCAGTGGTTACATGCCACAAAAAGAATAAACAATATTAACGTTAAGACCGCTACTGTTTGCTCTAAACATTTTGTGGACAGTGACTATAATTTAATTTAAAACACCAATTCTTAAGCCCGCTGCATAACAGCCCGGTAACGGGAACCGGAATCTAAACGGTAAAGGTGGGAGAGACTCAGCGAACCCTATCTATCAACAGTTTCTAAAAGAGTTAATAAGACTTACAGAAGCAATGTTTACAATATAGGTAAGCAAAGTTTGTTTCAACATTTCGTTTGTTTACATACAGTTCACTTCTTGATAACATAAGGTGTAATAACTATAACAATTTTAATTTTTTGCAACGCGTAGGCATTTGACAGTCGAACTCGTAACAAATATGGTCAACCTTCGACTTGGGATTTTGTGTTTCATGGTACGTACAGTGTTGCTGGATGAATGTCATATAAGTTCCCCACCAAAAATTACAAAATATACGCGTCGTATGTGTAAAGGTTATGTTGTTTCACCTTAGATGTAATTAATTTATTGAGAAGTAAGAAGGATCCAGTCGGTGTGTCACGATGTGCTAGCTAGCGTTCTTGTAAGGACCTTTAAATCTCTATTTCACGAGTTCGACTTCACTTATAATCATAGATTTAAAAGGGTTTACTCGGAACCAGAGCTGTTGTAAGTACCAAGAAAAAGTATTAGGTACCTAAAGTTTTTTTAATACGAATCAAGTACCAGTACAAGTAAATATAAGTAAAGAAGGAAATACTTAAAGCATCAAGTAAATTTACTTGAATTATTCAAATTTAAGTACAAGTACACGAAAATCAGAGTCAAGTTTAAGTATTTACTTAAACTTGCGAACTTTAAATGATATTTAAGTACAAATACTTTAAAACATAGTTTAAGTATTTTTTATTTTAAGTAATGTTCGGATTAAACTAAAAAATTAAATTATTGCTTATCGATAAACTTATATTCAGTATAGGCGGTATATCCGAATAATTACACAAAATCGTTTTTGTTAATGTTTTTTATTAATAACAGTAT